AGTACATGCGCTACCAAAACTTCCAAAAAAATGTGTAAAAGTATGTATAACGTTATGCAGATACAGGTCACATTTGTCAAAGTTTTTTTTTTTACTTAACCTAATCCATCTTTCTCTAGGCTACTTATTTGCATGCGTTTTCAGAGTTGGGAACTGAAACAACCCTTTCCAGACATCTGTTCATTAAGGTCCTCAAAGGACATCCAATACCCTAGCCAAGTGGGGTGTCAGCTTAGTTTATATGAATTGGAATTTAAATATTTTAGTTAGTTTAGTTAGTTTAAGTTAATTTAATAGTTTAATGTTAACTGAATCCCCCACAAAAGGGATGTTAATTTTAAATTTTTATTTTAGACAACACACCATAGCCTGAGACAAAATTGCAGTTTATCATGTAAACGGATTGAGCTACTCCTGCTTCAAAGCTTTAAAGCTCACAGCAGTGTATTACCCAGTGAACAATCAGTACTACAATAAGTGGTTGAAACAGAACATGTTATTCCTGAACTGATGTTCCACAGCAAGGAATAAAAGCACATCTTGCACTGATCATTGATGAGTAATAACTAATCAAGGTTTCAAAAGGAAGATGTAAATAGAATGAGCTACTCCTAAATCAATGTTCTTCAAGCACATTCACTGGACAGTTCTGACAGGGGGAAAATGAATCTTCATTAGTTGAACAACAGGATTAGACACATTTTCATCTATATAGTACAATCTGAGCAATTTTCAATCATGAATTTATACAAAAGCAGCAATGTACAGTGACACACCTGAAGAAAGCTCCACAGCCAAAACATTGTGTTTTTCTTCTTTTTTCAGTTTGGAATAAACATTTACTTGTTCCTTTGCATCCTATGCATACTGATGTAGCTACCTACTTGAACTAGTACTGTACTTTCTACTTGTAAGAAAACAAATAATTTCCATGCCAATTTCTTAAGCATATCCTACAAAGAATCCATTCAAAAAATCCTGTTTTTCAAATGATGTATTAATTCAACTCCATCAATACTATTTAAATATTCCTACATAGCATGACTGAAACATCATTAATCAGTTCATAATGAGGTATATTATAAATTCTAAAGTCATGGTCCATCATAAAGACAACTAGCACACAATTTTGAAAATGCAATACACATATTCAGAGGTCTCATCTCACTTATTTTCTACATACACAAGCACAATGCAGTCACTTTACACAACCCAGTCACTATTTTTGTGATTATATATTACTGTTGTAATATTGTTGTATTTAAAATGGATAGCTATTTGTATGACATGTATCCTTGACCATTATTATGTATTCAGCTTTCCTCTGTTGCTGTTTTTGATTTCTGTTCCAGCCATGGAGTGTCCATAATAAACACCATGTCTGAATACCTTGCAGCAAGTTTAGGTGGTATCAGAGCACCAAAGGTTGACGACTTACTTCATAATCATGTTCTTGAACCTAAGATCATGTGTTTCTTACACTTGAGTGAAGAGGCAGAGACATCAAGTGATCAGCACTTGAGAGCAAGCTGGATTCAATGCACAGGAGGCCCAAATGATCAATGGAGAAGGAACCCCTAGTGGATAATCCTATGTGGAGACATGTAAACTCCTATCTCCAGATTAACTTTGTTACAGCTCTCTGGGATATCATGTTCCTCAGTGCCTCAAAGAACTGACCAGAGAGAAATCCTTGTCAGTCAGGTGCACCTCTGACTTAAAAAAGGAACAATGCAGATTTCTCTCAAATATTTAAGGGTAATGGGAGTTTCAAAGACAGCTGGACCAAGCTCCATTTCTTAGACCTGAAGAAGGTACTGTATATGACTGGATTCCTTAAGATCAAATATTTTGTGGGAGATGCTGTGGGAATACAGGTGCAAGTGCAGCTTCTATGCTCAAACTGAGGTCAAGTCAGCTGTTGGACACCACCATTGCTGTGTCTCTTCTCCTGTTTTTGATATTAACAGCCATATCTATCACCTTCCTGCCAAGGTATCAAGAGTATCTAGTGTAGTGGCTTGGAGGTGGTATCCCTGCTTTTTGTATGTAACATTTTCTTCTTGCCTCGTCTGAGTGATAATATACCTAACAATGCACACATTGAGATGTATTTTGTAACATAATATGAAGGATGTGAAGAAAATCTGAGGTCATGGTCCTCTCCAAGTAAAAAGGAGCTGAAGGAATTCAGGAATTACCTCAGGGTCTCGGTTACAAGCAATGCCAAATGGGAATGTGCCGTAGGTTAGTGAATTGGTGCTGTGTCAACAATACTGCAGGTGCCGTTCCAGTCTGTGGTTGTGAAGCAAAAGCCAAGCTCTAGGACAAAACTCAACGTTTACAAATTGATCTATGTATATCACAATCTATGGCTGAAAATTCAATATAATAAGATCATGAATGCAAGAAGCAAAAAATACATTTCTTTGTGGGGCTGTTGGGTTTAGTCCCTGTGGCACCCTGTGACAGGGTGAGAAGATCAGCTATCTGGGAAAGTCTTCAGAGAAGACAGCTGACGTTGTTTGGCCAAGATGTAACCAATATGGATTCTCTTGAAGGTGTAGTGGGTATGACCTGCTCGGCAGAGACCTTGAAACTGAACACAGAATGTGCCAGAAGCAGTTTATTTTACAGCTGGCATGGGAATGTTTTGGAAATACCATAGGTGAAGCTGTAATCTGTTGCTGAGGACAAAGATGTGCGATCCTCTCTATTCAATATGCTGCAGCTGCTACCCACAACACAACAAGAAGACTGAAAATGCATTGGAAAACATCAAATCTTAATTTGTTTAAATAAAGCAGAACAGTTTCAGAATTAAAAATTAAAGTATAAAGTGAAAAAATGGCAATTCAAGTATTCAATGCACATGTAAATACCAAATAGGATAGATAGGTTGATGGACATGCCTTATTTTCAGTAAGAGGCAAAACAACATTAATCCTTTCTTGTAAATATTGGATCTACTATTGCAGTTGTTTTAAGAGGCACATCTAGAAGGAGTCAATCAAAATCCAGCATTTTCAACATAGACTGATGGTTAACTTAATTTATACTATTCTTCAGATTATTGGTGAAATTACGGTAATTTCAAACAATTCTCCATTGTCGGTTATTAATTATGTCTTGAGTCACATAATCCTTTTTTTTCTATGATGGTAAAAATGTATGATAAAAACAAGCACCACACCGGCTCACTGGCATATAAAAATGAGGAAATCATTCTTAGCTTGGTAAAAGCTTTCTTCCAGCAAATGAAAAACAAGATTTACAGTAGCCCATTTTTTAAACAATGACAGATATTACACTTCAATTGTCTATTTTAAAAATCTGGAACAACCATAAAAACAGTAATCACAGGTTTTTGGTTTTTAACTTTTGGACTATTGGGCTACATAATTTTTGTCTGAATCACAATTAGCAAAATTGGAATAACTGGGTTCTGAAGAAAGCTGTAATGAAATATTTTCGCCACCACTTTTCTGTATTAAAATACACATACATTTGGCATGTACTATTAAAGAAAGTGCACATTTTTGTTTTGTTCTGAACTATTTAGAGTATGATTAAGAATATGACGTCTTCTAACTGCTTTGGAAAGTAGGTGTGGAGTTGTACCATGAAGAATATACTGTATAGCATAATGCAACAATGCCTTGCAAAGTATTCGGACCCTATCAAACTGAAGACTTCTGAGGGTAAGTAAATTTCAGCAGAAACCACACAGAAAAAATACTGAAATATGTTGGTAGAACAAGTATTCAGACCCATGGATATTTGGTGGAAGTCTTTCTGGGTAAGTCTGTTCTAAGCTTGCACACTAGTTTGGTGGCACACCAGTGCCCATACTTGGGAGATTTGTTCAAGCTCTCTCAAATTGATTGGGTACAACAGTTCTCAATTATTCCCAAAAATTCTCAAAGGATTCAAGTCAGAATTTGAGAATTACTGTCCTTATAAGAGGTTACTTTTTTCTTAAACTTTTAGGTCTGAAGCAGGTTATCCTCTAAGATTGCCAGTGCTTTGCTCCATCTATGTCCCCATCAGTCTTGACAAGCTTCCTAATCCCTGCTGAATAACAACAGATTTAGTAGTGTTGTATAACATGCCAGCATAATGCTTGACAGCAGGGATGGGGCTGACAGAGTGCAACACAGAGTTGGGTGTGTTCAAATTTTTACGCATGAAAAACTGCATTGAGACCAAAAAGTTCTACGTCTGACCACAAAACCTTTGGTTTGCTACATGTTTACGGCATCACTTAGATGCTTTGTTGCAAAACCCCTGAGGGATTTGAGATTTCTTACAAGTCTCATTTTTTAAGTGACCAAAATATTGTTGACCCTGTTTCTCATTTCCTCACGTCTCAACCACCCGACTTTGGAACTCTTTCATAGTCGCCACAGACCTTACAGTGACATCCCTAAGCAGTTTCCTCCACTTTAGGTTGCTTAGTTTGGAAGGACAACCTGATCTAGGCAGTGTCTATGTGCTCTCCACGTTTTGATTATCAACTTCACCAGTGCTCAAAGAGGTATTAAGGACCTTTGAAGTGTTTTTATACCTTTTTTATGATCTGTGCCTTTCTCAATTTCATCCCCACGTTGTTTTGAAACTGATTTTTATGGTTGAATCTTTGCCTGAAATTCAGTACCTGGCTGATGGACCTTATAGAGGTAGGTGTATTTATTCTGAAATTATGTGAAACACTATTGTTGTACACAACCACGGGTCGCTTTAACTGTGTGGTCTTTAAGATAATTTTGTTTGCTTAAATTATTGTAGATTTCCCAGTGCAAACTGCTTGAATACTTATACAATCGTGAATTTTCTTTTGCTCTGCATGTGGAGAAGGTTGTACAGTATATATAACAAATATTATTAACTCAAAATGTTCTAACTTCAAGCTTTAAATAAACAAAATATGTAAACTGCAAGGGTCTGAATACTTTTGCAAGTAATTCCTTGTATATAACACACACTTCTATCAACAAATACAATATTATAGTATTTTATTTATAGATTACATCCCTCACGTTTTGTAAAAATAACCACTACACAAGTACACAGTCTATCTACAGATCTCTATTTATACAACAATAATGTTAGTGACCATAGATAGTACAAATCAGCCTTGTAGTATGTTTAATTGAGACAGTGGATACCCGTTTCCTTAGATGGATGCACAATTCATTAAATTAACTTTAACACTGTTCAGAACTCTTATTTATCCAACACCTGTGTGTTTCCAGGTGCTTTTACAGTTCAATGAATGCATTAAACATGAATGAATGTAGTTCAACAGCTTTTGAATCTGTTTTGTAAATATTGTATGCCAGAATACGTACAGCAGCTAGTAAAACAAACTTGGAACAGAAACAGGGTGAAGTTTTAAGACAGCATTGGAAAACACTATAGTGTTTTCAGTACTAGGAAGGCAAGACCTCTAACAATGTAATCTGGTGCAAAGCAGAAATGAAGGGCAGGGTAATTTTTTTTCTAGGATAGAGCTACAAAAATATGTTAACTTTTACATTTTGTGTCAGTAATGCAAAACGTGTCGCAGGAAGCATAAATTATACATTTTATTTTAGCCATTGTGTATACATTTTAATGCTAAACAAAATGTTTTACCTCATAAGTCTTCTATTCCAAGTTGCAAGTACAGTTCAATAAATACCATCTTTTCACATTAAGTAATTACAAGGGTCAGTTGGCCTAATTTGGATCAGTGCAAGTAAGATAAACTATGAATGTGGAATTCGTTTTGTATGCAGTTTGCATATTTCTGAAATATACAATTTTGATCACAGGTATTTAAATGATTGTATTTGCAAATTCATTGCACAGTTTGGTACAAGTATCCCCTCTTATAGGCACTCAATGGATAGAAAGTGGCCACAACAAACTTCCCATCAAATGTTCTCCCAGTCAGCAACTTTTGAGCTTCTTTGGAGTCACCAGCATTTGCATACTCAACAAAAACCTGCAAGATATATTTTATAGTGTATCAAAGCAAAGGGTTAAGTCAAACCAAAGAGTTAAGTCATTAACAGAATGTCATTCTTTTCATGCCTGTGTCTGGATTCTGTCTGTCTAGATTCTTCCCAGACGTTTTTCTAAGACAACTATGTAAAATCCTTTTCGGGAGAGAAAAAAACAGCTGAACACGGCTCACTTTTGACTTTAATTAACGCGCTGTCTAACTCAGTCACTGAAGAGTTGATGTTGAATTTTTTTTTTTCCAAAATGAAGTACATAAACTTATTTAATTAAGCTTATTTGTAGATTTTTACAATTTTATTTTTACTTTTGATAACCTACATAATTCTGTTGAACCTGAAAGTAAATATTAATGTTGTTAATTCACAAGACACTGTGCCCATCCATGGATGGACTAGAGTGTAAGCCTTTTTTGAAAAATCTCTCTATCCTTTTATCAATTTGTGCTTCTCCATAATGCATTAACGATTAATGAAGAACTCCTTTTTTCCCCAATGATCTTTTACTGTTCCCTAGATAGTATGACCAGTACCACAAAAAAAGAAACTTGGAGGACAGTGGAATTTCATGTCAGTATGACCAGTACCACAAAAAAAGAAACTTGGAGGACAGTGGAATTTCATGTCAGTAAGACACACTGAAAAAAATTGGTGTTCTGTACTTATTGATCTATAAATAGGGCAATAATAAACTTTAAATGTGATATATAAAGGGGAACTGCACTGCTATCCCAAACTGGTTATACAAAAAAATTCACTGACATCATAGAAAACAATTACAAATTTCAAATTAAGCACAAAATCGTTAACTTTGTGAAAGTACTGTAAGCCGCCATGTCGTTGCAAACTTGCATTTGAGTTCCCACTAATTGTGACGTGATGCGGTCCTTCATGCTCACTGGTCTCTGTAATGACTGATGTAATGTGATGCACGAGCGAATAAATACAGGTTCTGCAGCAGACATTTCACCACAGAAATGTTCCAACGTGATCTGCATGCAGAGTTAATAAGTAAGCAGTATTTGTCAGCAAAACCAATCGAGGACAATATTTTTATCGGATTAAAAGAGATGTACCTGTATTCACAAGCCTGCTTGTTGGCAATGTCATAGGGCCACACACATTACCGGAAGTTTTGTTGCCTTGTTCTGAACTTCAGAACACGGCACTGCGCATACCTGGAAATTTAGTCTATTTTGTGAAGTAAATTGGAGGTTTTACAAGTTACCATGTACATTTTACTGTTATTGTGATTTTAAATGCACCCCTTAAATGCTGATTCTTTCTAGTCCCAAACTATGAAAATAGCACTGCAGTTCCCCTTTAAAAAAGTAAATGAAAATAGCTTTTACCTGGCCTTTGCCGGGATTTTCCTTTGGAATCAACAAAGAAACCACTGCTCCATATTTCTGACATTCCTCTTTCATATCTTCAACAATGTCTAACAAGGCAGCATAGCAAATCTTTGGATTAAAAGATTTTCATGATGTGGAAAGACAGAACTTCATATGTTTATAATCTTGAACGGAATATCTAACGCATTGGGAGCAAAAAAGCAAAATATAATATTTCACTTAAAGGAAAGTACTTTCATAACAATCCTTTCTATGCAGACACATTGACACAAGAAATCCTAAATTACTTTAGCATTCAGAAATTCAGAAAGGCAAATACGTTCTGAAAGATATGATTAGCTTTGAACTGAGCTGTTCAAACATAAATCTTTATCTTGTATAATAATGTTCAAGGGCATCCTGAGTGGCTCAACCATTAAAAACATTCACCTAAACACAGCCTGAACACTAAAATACAGATGACATGGGTTTGAGCCTGCATCATGTCACTGACAGTGGCCAAGATTCAATAAGAGGTGGACAAATTGGCTGAGTGCCACTGGGGTTAGGATTAGCCAGTCAGGGCTCGCTTGGGTCTCAGTGACCCCTGAAGCCTCCCATGTGCTTCCCAGCTTCCCAGCTTCCGGTGCTGTGTGGGATGTATCTCTCCTCCAATCAGTGCTCCTCCAGCATGGGGCTGCATAGCTTGTGACAAGTTAAAAACCTACTGGCCTGAAGGTACTGTAAACTGATCAGAGGAGTCTGCCTACACTTCGTCATTCTCCTGTGTGTGTTTGCAGGGTTTGAATCGACGAGATGAGAAAAAATCAAGTAGATATAAAAAAATTGGGGATTTTTTTTTATATATATTTACTGTTTTATATCCTAATTTAATAATATATGATTGTAGCCACTATCTGAGAAACTGAAAAGTGAGATTCAAATCTCAATGTATGCTTTTGTTTTACAGAATGGTGAGCTGAAAACTCACCTTCATATTCCTCCTCATTCTGAAGATGGCTATCATTGATGACATTAAGCAGTCTCAGTACAGGTGTTGGAAGCATGACTAAATCTTCAATATGTGGTGCTTTAAAGAAAAGAGAGACCATGGCTGTATAAATTCTGCTTCCAGAAACCAAATACTTTTGTTATTCAAAGTAACCAGCAAAAATGTATAAGAATTAATGAACTGAAAATGAAAAAAGTAACTTATATGAAAGTAAACAGTGCCAAAATAGATTTTCTTATAAGGAAAGATTCATATAATGTCTCTGTATAAGAATATTTTTATTTAAAATTATTAATTCATTATTGCACATTGTTATTGTACTTGATATTTGACCTTTCTCAGGATCAATACACCTTAGATTGTGCAACAAATACTTATGCCTTTTGACAGAATCTCAGATTCTCACATGTGTTAGATGTTTTCTTAGAAATACATTTTATTATAACTTTATACATTTCATTTTTCATTTGAATTAAACTGCCTAACTAAAATGTGACAAAAATTAATTCTATTTTAGTTGACTAGACTAAATTAAAAGTGGGGGACTAGAAAGTCACTACAACTAACGGACACTTTGTGTGTCTGACTATGACTAAATCAAAAACTGGTGACTAAATTAACATGCTGCCAGGTGTGAGCCTTGGCAATCCAATACTGGATACTCTGACAATGCTCTGCCATTCGATGAATTCCAGTTGCAGTCAGCTGGTGCCTTGACCAAGACTTGAACATATGGTTTCAGGGAAATAGAGCTCAATTACCACCCCAACAGAGTGCCGTTACAGGTTTAAGAAGTTCAAGTAGGTAGCTGTGTTAGCATGCGTAAGGCTGCAAAGAAACAAGTAAAAGTTTATTCCATAATGAAAAGAGAACAAAAGAAACAAAACGTTTCAGCTGTGGAGCCTTTTTCTAGTGTGTCGCAGGCTCCACAGCTGAAACGTTATGTTTCTTTCCTTCTCTTTTCAGTGTGGAATAAACCTTTACTTATTCCTTTGCAGCCCTTACGGGTTTAACTACTTCAGAGCTCACCAAGGGTAATTTGTCTTGTCAGATATCGATATAGTTGTGTTAGGGTTTTAACTGAAAGGTCTACTGTACACTGTCTTTACAGTGAACTACTATGTCCAATTTGTTCAGAGAGTATAATTTTGAAAAAAGTGTTTCAAACACCCGTTTGACAAAATAAGTCAAACAAGTTTAAATTAAACGGATTACTCCTGCTACTTACCAAAGGGGATGCTGAAGAAAGGGCTGGACAGTGCCTTTTCTGCTGTGGTTCTTTGCCTTGGGTCACAATGAAGCATTCTAGGTGGGAAAGAGACAAACATATTCTGAGGCACTTAAAACAATCAAACACATTAAGAAGATCAATTGCTTATTTCAATTTACAATTTAGCAGCAAACTGTAAAATCTGACTTTTATAACAATTTCTATCCTAAACCAAAAAAGGAAGGAAGAATGTGGTTGCTATCTTTTTTGTACAAGTAGATCATATTATTCACTACTAGGTTCAGAAAATGCTGGAATAATGCTCAGCAGTTATTTTGTGTAAAGCCATTCTTAGAATGTTAGTAGTTCAGCTATAAAGATATGGAATACAATGGCCACCAGTCATCTGTAAACTTTATATCCTTACATGCCAGGTCATCAGTTGGACCTGAAGCCAACTGCACAGACTTCAAAAGTTTAAAAAAATATATTTTCACCTACGTTTTAATGAGGTCTCTTAGGTGATAGATTGGAATAGCAGACCCAACCACAGTTTTACTGGCAAAGATATTGTCTATTACAGTAAAATTATTAGCCTGCAGAAAAGAAAAACAGAACATGAGTAAAGCCAAGCATTCAGCTATATTACAGTTAGACATTCAGAGTCAACACATTTCCAAAAAGTGCATCACCACTCACCTTCCATTCCCAAGATTTAACTGTTTCTTTCAGTTTTATTCCTGAGAACATTTCCAGTAAAATGATTCCAAGACTCCATAGGTCAACAGCTGAAGTACATTCTGTATCACTTTCCAAACCAGCCTGAGCCACAGAGTTTTGAATCTCTGCCTCAGGGGCTCTGTACCCGTCAGTCTGGATGTATTTTACATCCTGAAAATATAAAGCAACATTACAAAGCCCATAGTGTGAATACAGATTAAGTATAGAAGCAGACCCTTTGAATGAGATAATCTCCTGTTAAAAGTTAATGGAACACCACACTTGCCCTGAAACAATTTGGAAACAAACCATTATCTTGAAAGGTACACAAAGGGGTCTCAA